GGCAATAGGGAGGCCTCTTGGAGGCCGTTTTTGGGCCTCTTGGGCTCTCTTTTGAGCCTCTGGGGAACGTCCGAAGGCTCTCTGGGTCGCCTCTTGGAGCGTCTTGGGGGCCTGATGAGGCCATCTTGGGGGCGATCGGTCGCAGATGGGGCGAGCATTTTTCAGTGTCCCCCCCCTGGGGGCGACGATCCTCGTGAGGGGTGTCGAATTTTAGCCCTCCCAGGGATGGAAAACGGACCCTCTGACCACCCGCGGAAGGCCCCCTCCAGGTCCAGGGGGAGGGGGTAGGGGGAGGGGTAAACCCCTCCCCGAAGGGGAAGAAGGGGGGTTGAGAACAGAGCGGACTCCCTAAACCACTCACGCCCAAAGGGCTGGTGGGATTAAAGCTGTGCGTAGCCCGCCTAGCTTTCAGCGGAAGAGGTTCGCTCTCGCCCCGCAGATCAAAACTGTTTCGCGTGCCGCGCCTCTTTCCGGGAAGTTGTTTCTTCCTTTAGCAGCGGCGGTCTGAGCAGCCCTCGCCCAGTTTCCGACTCCTGCCGATGCCTTCCCCCTCCTCTCGCGGGAGGGTCCCCCCCCCCCCCCCGGCGGTCGGGGCACGGTGGACCCCCCCCCATCGCGCAGGGGGGCGTGGGGCGATGGGGGGTGTTGGTGCCTGGGGCTGCGCCATCTACCGCCTCCCCCAGGCTGAGCCACCATGCCCTTCTATTCAGGGGCACCTTCGTCGCCGTTCGGCGTTTGGGGGCCCACCTTGCCCATAAACGTGCCTTATACCGCCACCAGGTGCCTATTACCGATCTATCGGGGATGGTGGGTGTTGGTGCCGCCCTCCTCCTGTGGGTGTGGGGTGGTGCTGCGTTGCAGTCTTCGTCATCTTCGTCGTCGTCGTCGTCGTCGTCGTCGTCGTCGTCGTCGTCGTCGTCGTCGTCGTCGTCCCTCGCCGTCGGCCGTCGCCGTCGGCCGTCGCCTCTGCAGCCGCCGCCGCCGGAGCCGCCGCCGCCGCCGCCGCCGCCGCCGCCGTCGTCGTCGTCGTCGTCGTCGTCGTCGTCGTCGTCGTCGTCGTCGTTGTTTTCGTCGTCGATGTCGTCGTCGATGCCGTCGTCGTCATTCTCGTCGTCGACGTCGTCTTTTGTGGTCGTCTTCCGTCGTCGTCGACAGTCGCCTCCGCAGCCGCGGCCGCCGCCGCCGCCGCTGTCGTCGTCGTCGTCGTCATCGTTGTCGTCGTCGTCGTCGTCGGCGTCGTCGATGTCAGCAGCGCCGTCGTCGTCGTCGTCGTCGTCGTCGTCGTCGTCGTCGTCGTCGTCGTCGTCGTCGTCGTCGATGTCAGCAGCGCCGTCGTCGTTTTCGCTGTTGTCGTCGTCGTCGTCGTAGTCGTGGTTGTCGTCCTCCTCGTAGGGGTCGTCGTCGTCGTCGCCGCCTTCGTCGTCGTCGATGTAATCGTCGTCGATATCATCGTCGATGTCGTCGTCGTCTTCCGTCGTCGTCGTCGTCGGCCGTCGCCTCCGCAGCCGCCGCTGCCGCCGCCGCCGCCGTCGTCGTCGTCGTCGTCGTCGTCGTCGTCGTCGTCGTCGTCGTCATCGTCGTCGTCGTCGTCGTCGATGTCCTCGTCGTCGTCGTCGCCGTCGTCGATATCGTCGTCGTCATCGTCGTCGTCATCGTCGTCGTCGTCGTCGTCTTCCGTCGTCGTCGGCCGTCGCCGTCGGCCGTTGCCTCGGCCGCCGCCGCAGCCGCCGACGCCGCCGCCGCAGCCGTCGTCGTCGTCGTCGTCGTCGTCGTCGTCGTCGTCGTGCTCGTAGTTCCCCCCCCATCCCGTCTGGGGGTGGGGGGGCCTGTGGGGCCTTTGGACCCATCCTATTGCGGGGGCGGCCTGTGTCTTCCGTTGTCGTCGGCCGTCGCCTCCGCAGCCGCCGCCGCCGCGGCCGCCGCCGCCGACGCCGCCGCCGCCGCCGCTGTCGTCGTCGTCGTCGTCGTCGTCGTCGTCGATGTCGTTGCCGTTGTCGGTGTCGTCGTCGTCGTCGTCGTCGTCGTCGTCGTCGTCGTCGTCGTCGTCGTTGTTTTCGTCGTCGATGTCGTCGTCGATGTCGTCGTCATTCTCGTCGTCGACATTCTCGTCGTCGTCGTCGTCGTCGTCGTCAGCAGCGCCGTCGTCATCGTCGTCGTCGTCGTTGTCGTCGTTGTCGTCGTTGGTGTCGTCGTCGTCGTCGTCGTCGTCTTCCGTCGTCGTCTTCCGTCGTCGTCGGCCGTCGCCTCTGCAGCCGCCGCCGCCGCCGACGCCGCCGCCGCCGTCGTCGTTCTCGTCATCGTCGCCGTCTTCGTCGTCGTCGATGTCGTCGTCGTCGATGGCGTGGTCGTCGTCGTCGTTGTCAGCAGCGCCATCGTCGTCGTCGTCGTCGCCGTTGGCATCGGCCGTTGTCGTTGTCGCCGTCGTCGATGTCAACGTTGTCGATGTCGTCGTTGTCGTAGTCGTCGTCGTCGTCGTCGTCGTCGTCGTCGTCGTTGTCGTCGTCGTTGTCGTCGTCTTCGTCGTCGTCAGCAGCGCCGTCGTCGTCGTCGTCTTCGTCGTCGTCGTCGATGTCGTCGTCGATGTCGTTGTCGTCGCGGCCTTCGTCGTCGTCGTCGTCGTCGTTTTCGCTGTTGTCGTCGTCGTCGTCGTCGTCGTCGTCGTCGTCGTAGTCGATGTCGTCGTCGTCGTCGTCGTCGTCGTCGTCGTCGTCGTCGTCGTCGTCGTCGTCGTCGTCAGCAGCGCCGTCGTCAGCAGCGCCGTCGTCGTCGTCGTCTTTCCCCCATCCCATCTGGGTGAGGGGGGGCTTGCGGGGCCGTTTGACCCATCCCATTGGGGGGCGGCCTGTGAATCCCCGAAATGGGGTACGATCGAAAACGACGAGGGCGGATATTACAGGCTCGGGTTATCAGTTGAACGTCACGCGAGCAACGACGAGCCAGTTTTTTGTTTGATTGTTGTTGTTTTTCTTGTTGAGGGGCCTGGGGCTGCGCCATCTACCGCTTCCCCCAGGCTCAGCCACCATGGGCTTCTATTCAGGGGCACCTTCGTCGCCGTTCGGCGTTTGGGAGCCCGCCTTGCCCATAAACGTGCCTCACCGCCACCAGGTGCCTATTACCGATCTATCGGGGATGGTGGGTGTTGGTGCCGCCCTCCTCCTGTGGGTGTGGGGTGGTGCTGCGTTGCAGTCTTCGTCATCTTCGTCGTCGTCGTCGTCGACTTCCCTCGCCGTTGGCCGTCGCCGTCGGCCGTCGCCGCTGCCGCCGCCGCCGACGCCGCCGCCGCAGCCGTCGTGGTGATCGTCGTCCTCGTCGTCGTCGTCGTCGTCGTCGTCGTCGTCGTCGTCGTCGATGTCCTCGTCGTCGTCGTCGCCGTCGTCGATATCGTCGTCGTCATCGTCGTCGTCGTCTTCCGTCGTCGTCGGCCGTCGCCGTCGGCCGTTGCCTCGGCCGCCGCCGCAGCCGCCGCCGCCGCCGCCGCAGCCGTCGTCGTCGTCGTCGTCTTCGTCGTCGTCGTCGTCGTCGTCGTCGTCGTCGTGGTCGTCGTCGTCCCCCCCCATGCCGTCTGGGGGAGGGGGGGCCTGTGGGGCCTGTGCACCCATCCTATTGCAGGGCGGCCTGTGAGTCCTCGACCCAGGAATGCGTAGCCCCCCTCAAGTGGGCGCGATCGAAAACGAAGAGGGCGGGCATTAAGGGCCCGGTTTATCAGTTGAACGACACGCAAATAACGACGGAGCCAGCAATTTGTTTGATTGTTGGTTGTTTTTTGTTGCCGTCGTCCCGCCCGCGACTCGGCCCGCGACCCACCCACGACCCACCTGCGACGCACCCGCGACCCACCCGCGACCCAACCCGCGAACCAGCCCGCGACCCCCTGGGGACCTGCACGCGACCCACCCGCGACCCACCCCGCGACCCGCCCGTGACCCACCCGCAACCCGCCAGCGACCCACCCGCGACCCACCCGCGACCCACCCGCGACCCACCCGCGAACCACCCACGACCCACGCGCGACCCACCCGCGACCCACCCGCGACCCACCCGCGACCCACCCAGGCCCCACCCGCGACCCACCCGCGACCCACCCGCGACCCACCCCGCGGCTCACCTCGCGACCCACCCGCGACCCACCCGCAACCCACCCCATGCCCGCCCCTCACTCTCATCCGCAAGTGCGGGGTGCTACAGTATATTCCAGGCCGATTATTCCCCCTTTAGATAGCCCCTTCCCTTTCGACTCCCCTCATCTCGAGGCCTCATGTGGGTAATCTTGGCTTGGAGTGAAACCGAAGCACCAAGCGCCCAGAACGAACTACCCTGAGATTATCCTCGAAGTAGTGTGCGTCCCCTTTTCCTCTCCCTGAGCGTCTTTACAGGAGAGCTCTTGCTTGGCAGGCATCCAGCATCACGAGAGCGTCGGCGCGGGAGGGAAGCGTACGTCATGTTCGCGCTGTCTAGGCGCGGCGGCGACGTTGCCGAGGGCGCTCAAGGTTGAACACCCTCTGGGGGCCCATTCGGGGCCCTGGGGCCTACAGAATTGAAACTCTGGTCTGGCCAGAAGTGCACACGAAAGATAAGGTCGGCATCTTCCTGGGGACCACCGAGAGCGGTGATCGTTCAAGATTCAGCCGCCCACGTGTTGTCAGAAATCAGGGCCCACGACGTTACGGCAGGATCTTGCCGCATCCCGATCTCAGGTCTCAGATTTCGCCAGGGAGAAGCGAAGTCACGACGACGTCCTGCGGGCCCTGAAGGACGAGATGAAGCAGCAGCGTCAGCAGTTCGAAAGCCGCATGACGTCTTTCCAGGAGCAGTTCGAGGAGTACAAGGCCAAGACTACGGCCGAGCTCCAGGTGCAGGAGATCCTGAACGCCCGCCGTGCGGAGGCCCTGAGGAACATGGAGGACGAGCGGCAGCGCCACGTCAAGGCTCCGGGCCTGCCAAATGGGGTCCGAGTTGACGCCGCCGCAGGATTTCGCCGCATCGCCGGTGCATCGATGCGGCTCGAGATGGGCCCCGAGCTCCGCCACGCAGAGGTCGCCGATGCGCCGCCGGCGTCGCTGATGCCTCGGCGATGCATCGGCGATGCGGAGCGATCCTCCGACCCCACTTGGGAGGTCTCCACAGGCGCGGACAAAGCCGACGGCGCGCATCTCTGCGCTCGCTCCGATTGCGAACCCCATGCTCGGGTCCGCCCCGCCCAGCGGCATCGCGCCCGTGGCGAACCCGTTGCTCGGCTCTGGCCCGCCCGGCGCCGAGCTCACCAGCCTCCCGAACGGGGATGCGGACGAGGAGTCTGAGGCGCGGTACGAGCAGTACATGCTCGCGAAGGACCATCGGGGGCGGCAAAGAGGGGGGTGATGACTAGGGGGGGTGGATATCATGGCGGGGGCCATGACATTTCCCCAGATTCCATGGCGCCTCTTCTCGTTTCACCACGTCCCTGGCCCCCCCGCTGGGCCGCGCACATGCCGCTGGTCATGATTTGCACCCCCCCCTCAGGACACCCCCCTCTTGGCCGCTCCCGAGGCCAGAGTCGGGGAACGAGACATGACATCAACATAACCTCACGGAGGTCCACGCGGATTTCTCGGATCCGTGGGGGGGGTTCAGCTCCGATCCAAGACATCCGCGCGGACCTCCGAACATGTATGTTCATGTTATGGTGTGCTCCTCTTACAGAGGGTTCGAAGCAGGCAGCCAGGCCGCCCAGACGAGACCAGAGTGGACAGGGTCGGCGGGTCGCGCCACATCGTCGATGTATCGGCGATGCATCGTCACGTCGCCGATGCATCGGCGATTTGCGCCATCCCGATGTCGCCGATGCGCCGCCAATGCGTCGATGATGCGGTGCGTCCATCCCTCCATCCATCCTGGCACTGTTTGTGTGTGGCCTCCAAGCACGAGCATCGCCGAGGCCTGCCTTTGCCTTGCCACCCGATTCCTCCTCAGCAGGACCAGCGACCTGAGGACCTTAATTTGTCGTCGAATCGGCCAAGCCTGGCAGGCTCGTTTCGAGGCGGGAGACTTCCCTGGGCTCGGCCAGGCGCGAGCGAGGGTGTCGAGGGGACTCTCGATGGTCTCTCGCCGCGACTGGGGTTCTCGTGCCATACAACCTGCGACGTACGTGTTTCTACATGCATCCTTTGCCCCCCATCCTACCACGAGGCGCTACACATGGAGTCGTTGTTCCCAACGTAGCCACATTGCCCGAACGGGGCTCGCAGCGGCCGAAATCGAGGGACAACCTCTGCCGCGACGATTCGAGTTCCTCCTCCTCATCCTCCTCAACATTCGAGTCGCCTCCTCGCGCCCAGGCTCGCTCTTGGCCACCGCTTGTTGGCAGAGACTGACATCGAAATCCTTGTCATCCTCTTGCCCCTCCTGCCGCCCATGGGTTGGAGAGGCACGCTCCGTTGTGCCCACGGCCGCGAGCGCCCTCCTGCTGTCCTCCACCTCACGTCGTTCTCATTTTGGTTGTCCTCCCGCTGCGCCTCCTCCTTCTCCTCCTCCTCCTCCTCCTCCTCCTCCTCCCACCTCCTTCTCCTCCTCCTCCTGCCTCCTCCTCCTCCTCCTCCTCCCTCCTTCTCCCTCCTCCTCCTCCTCCTCCTCCTCCCTCCTCCTCCTCCTCCTCCTCCTCCTTCTCCGCCTCCTCCTCCTCATCCTACCTTGCCTTCGCCTGTCAGTGGGTGTGGCTTCCACCCAGTCTTTGCCTCTCTGTGGTTGTGGCTTCCACATGTCCCCAACTGTCTGGGCACGAAAGTGGTGACATTTTCCCCGCGTCCTATCTGACACCCTTGGCAACCCTCCTCCTCCTCCTTCCTGCTCCTGCTCTCGCCTCGTTCTCCTTCTTATCCACCTCCACCTCCTCCTCCCCCTCCTCCTCCTCCTCCTCCTTTCCTCTCCTCCTCCCTCCCTTACCCTCTCCTTCCTCCCTCCTCCTCCTCCTCCTCCTCCTCCTTCTCCTCCTTTCCCTCCCCCCCCCTCCTCCCACTCCGTCGCCTCGTGCTCGACCGCTATCCGCCCCGGCCTGCCTCGCCCCCCTCCCTGCCCCGTGGCCCTGCCGCCCTCCTCCCGCCGCCACGTGCAGCGGGATCCTCGGCGTGCGCCCGCCACCAGATGTGCTCGTGCACCGCTGCGTAGGACGATCCCTTTTTTTGAACATCCGCCCTTCCATCCATTGCTCTACAGGGCAGTTGTTTAAAACACAGAAGGCTAAAACATCTAGGATTTTACCACATGAGTAGTGGATGAACAAATCTGTGCACGAGCTCATTTTAATACTACATCCCTGCATTTTTAATACATGCTCCGCACGCGGAGCATGCGTAAGAAACGGCACTGGAGGACGATCCCTTTTTTAACATCCGCCCTTCCATCCATTTCTCTCTGGGCTTAGGTCGGGCCCGTCCCTCTACAGGAGGAATATGCAAGAATAGTCAGAAAGTAGTCGGGAGACTACTTTTGGATTTTTTTTGACAATTTTGGAATATGTTGGATTCTTTTTTTTGTTTCGTCGAAATTCCCCCTGTAGGGGGACACGCCCGACTTTACTCTAGTCCTGTGGAGGACGATCGATGGAGAGGAAGCATGTTGCCAAATGCTTTCCAGATGTCTGAAACATCTGTTAATCATGGTCTTTAAACGTGTAATTCACATGTTTAAAACATGTTTAGAGCACTTTCTGACAATTTAAGTACATGTTGAACTCAATGATAGGACTGTTAGGGTGTCCATTGCAGTGGCATCCACAACTCTAGTCTCCTCTTACCCCAGAGCCCTCGGGGGGCCTCCATTAACCCGATGAACACGCATACTGCAAAAGCCTCGATTATCCTCCTCATGCTCCTACAGTCTGAATTCACCAGGTAGTTTAGCCCACGTTCAGACAGGGACTCCATGAGATTCTGCTCTGCTCTGCTCCTCTTCCCCCTCCCCCGCCCCCTCCCCCTCCTTTCCCCCCCGTCGTCCTCCTCCTCCTTCTCCTCCTCCTCCTCCTCCTCTTCCCCCTCCCCCTTCCCTCCCCCGCCCCCTCCTCTCCCCCTCGTCCTCCCCCTCCTCTCCCTCCTCCCACTTCTTCCGGAGGACACGAGGTACCGGGTGGACGACATGGGCATGGACACGGCCTGGCGGGACTACCAGCTGAGCCAGCCGGCGCCATCGACGCTCCCGGCGCGAAAGGCACGCCGAAGCGGGGTGGGGTGAGACCCAGCGTCGGTATCCTGGCAATGGGGACGGAGAACATGTGACAAAGTCACGGCTCACCGATCCATCCCAACCCGCAGAGGAGGAAACGGTATCCATACCTCTACCCTTCCCTCGTGTTCCCTTTTTGGGTCTCCTGGGAGGCCCTCGTCGCCACCGCTAGGTTCGCCTCGAAATTCTGGTCAGAACGCACCCCGGGAGGTCCGGAGAGTAGTGATCTCGATGCCTTTTGGTATCCTCAAACCCAAACGGAAGGCTCCAGGCCCCCTGAAGTTTCGGGTTGTGGGGTGTGTACGGGTTCCACTGTATATTTTCTCGATGTTCCGGAGTGCCCCCCCCCCTCCACTGGAAATTGACAGGCCCAGCGGCGACTTCGGGTTGGGTGGAGGTGGCTTGGCAGGTAGTCACAGCGACCGGCGGGATTCGTTGCAGGTCTCGCCGCGGACGTTGTTCGGCGACTACAAAAGGCGTGGTTGCGCAGGGGTGCGGTTTGCGATCTGCGTCGGTTGGGGCTTGAGAAGCACCGCGTTGCCCTCGTCGGGCCTCCTACAGTCAGTGGATAGTGAGAATTTGCCGTGGGCGACGCTCGCGCTCCGTAAAAGCGCATGGCTGCAAGCCGCCCTGTGTGCGGCTGGAAACGCTCGCGCTGGGTCAACGTGCACGGCTGGAACGCTCGCGCTCGGCAAAATGCATGGCTGGAGCCTGCGCCGTGGTCGGCTGGAACGCCCCCGCTCGGTAAAAATGCACGGCTGGAACCCACGCTGGGTGCGGCTGGAGCGTTCGCGCTGGGTCAAAATATATGGCTGGAGCCCACGTCGTGGGCGGCTGGAACGCTCTCGCTGAGCTAGACACCACACCGTGGGCGGCTGGAGCACTCGGGCTGGGCAAGAAGTAGGGGCTGGAACCAGTTTCTGTTTGCAGTGAGTTGTCCACTCCACTGGTCGCGCAAACATCCCACCCACACGCCCGCAACTTAGATTGCAAAACCCATGCGGCGGCGATTGCGATGAGTGCTTGGACTTGGCCGGTGTAAGGCTGCGGCTACGCTAGCCCGCGCATGCTCGCGTGCGCAGCGGCCAGCTAGTTTAGCGCGACCGACGCGGCTGCGGTGGTGCTGACCGCTGGGCACTTCCCAGCGGGCATTTCAGTGCGAGTCGGTGACTTGGGCTGGCGCGGTACTTTCCATTTAGACGTCGACACCTCTAGTCGCGATGATGATGGTTGCGATGCTGGTGACGAGGGTGACAAACACGACGGCAAGGCCAGTGAAGACGCCGATGCGGATCACGCCGACGACGATGACGCGTCCTCGCGTCGGTGATGAAGATTTTGGAAGGTGTTCGACATGCCCGCGCGGCCAACGTGCGAGAGTGGCCCTCGTGGTATTCTTTGGCGCGGATCGTGCCCCCCCCTGCACGGGCTCAAAAGGCGCTTTTCTGGACGCTCGATTTTGAAATTCCTACGGCACGTAATTTTCTCCAGGGTTCTGGCATGCGCGCGCGCGGCGACCCGCGCGTGTGCATTTCGCAGATTTGTTAGCGAACGGGTTCTTGCGACACCGCGCGCGCAAGGGCGTTCGAACGATTCCGACGCGCGCGCGAAAAAAACGCTTGGCATCAATATTTTGCACATGCTATTTTTTGTATAAAGAACCCCGCGTTCGCCCGAACGCGAACTTGGATTGCCAATTTGTATTGCGGAATTTTTAGATATATATGTATATATAAATGTGTTCGGGACATTGATTTTGACATTTCTACGCCATGTAAGGTTTTTGCTGGATTCGGGCATTCGCGCGCGACGACGCGCGTTTTGTTGTTGTTGTTGTTGTTGTTGTTGTTGTTGTTGTTGTTGTTGTAGTTTTTGTTGTTGTTGTTGTTGTTGCTGTTGTTGCTGTCGTCGTTGTTGTTTTTGTTTTTGCTGTTGTTTTTGTTGTTGGTTGTTGTTATTTTGGTTTTCTATTTTTTATTGTTTCTCCCCCAATGGGTACTTTGCACCTGATGATTTGTGATCACCGAATGCGCGCGCATTTCATTTCGTCCAAAGGATGAATGGGGGCAATACCAGCCTGTCTTGGGGGTCGCGAAGTCATGTTTTGGATGGGCGATGGTGCTGAAGCATGTGTAAATGGTAGTGCGAAAAAAGGGGGGGCAGTTAATTCCGAGGGTGCGCTCGGTTAGAAAAGGAGAATCGACACCGCGGGTTGCTGGAGCATTCTCTCTTTGACAAAATTGCAGGTTGGGGCCACCCCTTCCTGTTGGCATAGGCGGCCGGAACATGTTCCCCTGTAGAAATTCGGGGCTGGGGCCTCACCCGGCCTGGGGCTTCAAACGTGTAAGCAAGACTCGGGGGATGGGAGGGGGGGACGGGCCAGGGGCGGGGGCATGGTCCCCAAACTAGGTCGGCCCGCGCGCTCGTCTGCCGGTCCGTCGGTCCGTTGGTCGTCGCCGTCGGTCGCCGTCGTTTGACTCCGTCGGTCGGTCCGTCCGTCGGTCGTCATCGGTCGGTCGGTCGGTCGTCGTCGTTTCGGTCGCTCGGCTGGTCGTTCGGTCCAGTCGTCGGTCGGTCGGTCGGTCGGTCGTCGTCGTCTCGATCCGCCCATGCCATACCGCGCTCTGGAAGCGCGCCAACGCGGCTACGGATGCAATGAGGTTGTGGACAAGACGTTTGACCTTGTTAACACTTTAGTGCCAACAACATCCTACTGACTGTAGGGGCGCAGCGGGGACAACGGTCGAGGTCCTCGCCCGCCGCCCAGGGCGCGGGTTGCAAACCACACCCTTCGGAGTCGCCGAGCTGTGTCCATGTTGGAAAAGGGAATCGCCTGCCCAAGAGCTGACGCGGTCGGTTTTTGATCGACGCCTGCCGTTGGGCATCTTCCCGACGCCGATCTGCTTGTAACCATATTCGGGGACCCCGGCCGGCGGCGGGTATGAACACATTCGGGCCCCGGGGTGGCCAACTGTACCCATTTCCGCCGCCACCCGACGTCCCATTCCCCTTTCACTTTTTTTTTCTCCTCCAGACTATCTCCCCTCGTCCGCTTACTTTGCCCTCCCCTCCTCTTTCTCCTCCTCCTCCTCCTCAGTCCTCTTTCCTCCCCCGCCCCTCCCGCGCGCGGGACCCCCGCGTGCCACTGCCCAGATGGGCCCGCAGGAGAGCCCTCCTCTCTCCAATCGGGCAGGCTCCAGGGGGAGAGGTTGCGGGAGGGGCAGTAATTTGACTCGCTGAGGAAAGCACAAGGGTATCCTTCATCTCCACTTGGGGATGACGTCAACGGGGGGGGCGAAAGTTGAGCGCGTTTGCTGGTGCGAGATCGTCTTTTTGTTTCTCGGAAGGCGGCTTGCGCATGTGAAATGTTCCCCATCAGTTTCGCCCATGCGGCACTTTGAAAACGCTCTGACTCGCTGGGGAAAGCACAAGGGTAGCCGAATTTGATTGGTGCGTGGGCCCCGAACTTCTCAATCCCTTCCCCATGGCCAGTTTTTCAGCCCGATTGTTCTTGGCGGTCCCGATCCCCCGTAAGGGTCCCCAGCGGTCGAGTATTGCCAAACGCTCTCCGTCGTGATTTTTTTTTGCGCAACGCGAGGAGGTCTTGCAAGGCGGAGGCGGAGGAGGAGGAGGAGGAGGAGGAGGAGGAGGAGGAGGAGGAGGAGGGAAGAGGAGGAGGAGGAGGAGGGAGAGGAGGAGGAGGAGGAGGAGGAGGAGGAGGAGGAGCAGCAGGAGGACGACGACGACGTCGGCGGCAGCCGCGAAGGCAATGCCCAAGTTCCGGGTCGAGCGGGCGCGCAAGGCGAACTCGGTCGGCCCCCACGCGCCCGTCGCCACGGAGGAGGGGTCCGTGCCGCCGAAGCGACGGAGGAGGAGGGAGGATTTGAGGATTGCGCCTGATTCGCCGAGGAGGCTGTCAGCATGGTAGCTGCTGGCAGAAACACGCGGTAACTAGCAGCACGGGCGCCAAGGTTTGGTGAACCCCCCCCCCGCCCGTCACCTAGCCCGCGCCACCCCTATATCGGGAGGAGGGAGAGGGGGGGAGGGAAGGGGGGAAGCGGGCTCTTCCTTCCCCCCTCCCCGTCTTCTGTCTTTGTCTCTCGCCTCTGCCCCAGTCCTGGGTTGCTGCGCCTCTGGAGAGCATGACCTCTGGACGTGCCGTGGCGCAGTGTGGCAGGAGGGGGAGGGGGGAGGCGCCTGAGACAGTCCTATGTCAGCGCCTCTAAGGAGGCAAACCAATGCGGTGGAACAAAGGCAATTTATAGCGATGTGTTGCAAAGCAATGCAAACCAGTTTACAGCACGCAAAGGCAACTCATGCCGCAACGCAGTGTTGCCGTGACGTCTGGTACTGCTGCTTGCCATTCAGAGTATTGCAGATGTGTTGTGTTGCTGTCGTGCTCATGATTCGTTGTGGTGTGCTCATGCTATGGTGCCTGTCGTGGTTTTGTCGTTAACATTGGATGTTGTGAGTTTTTCAGCCAGACCAGCGTGATGCCATAAAGCATTTGCTGTGTATTTGACAGCAGCTGCACTTGCATGCGTTCTCGTTCGTGTTGCGTATCGAGTTTTGCAAACCGTGCCCCTTCTTTTCTCTCCCCCGCTCATCCTTCTTCTTCGTGGTGCCGCCGTATTAACACGATGTTAGTAGTAGTGCCATTCGGGGGTCGTAATGCGAGTTGATGCGTTCGATGTCCGAGGCTTGTTGAATGTGCGCATGCTGTTGAAACACAAACAAATACAGTGTTTTGCACATCGCCTCTGGTATGCAATGATCGTGTTGTGTGTCGCGTTTGTCCTGTCGTCTGTCTTGTGTTTGTCGGAGGTTGGTCTGTCTTGTCGGTTATCTGTCATTCGTATGCCGTGCTTTGTCTTTTTTATTATTTGGGTGCTCCTCGAGCCAGTGCTCACCGCGTGTGACCATGTCCCCCACCGCTGACCGAATATGAGTCATTCGATCATATGCTTGATAGGTTTACGTGGTCAGGTGTTTTTGCCAGTCCGCGTTTTGTCACCGGCTCTTTGCTTCTGACGCCATTCGAGGAGGACGCGTGGCTGGATCCTCAGGGATTCTCTCGGGGATATTTGGGCCTGGCCGCCACGACATGCGGGGCGACTCTGTCGCCTTTGGCCGACGACGTTCAGAAACCAGGCAAAGTTTGGCAATCCCGTGGCTGCTAAAACGGAGCTCCAGGATTTTTCTCTTCCGGGAAGCAGCCCGTTCACTATTCAGTGCGCCGAGGTTTCTTCTGGGAATTTGTTCCGTTTCTCGGGGAAGGCCGTTTTGGCAGAAACGGAATTCGCCAGCCCTCGCCCAGCCTCCGAGACGTCGGGGACGCGAGGTTGGGGGCCCAGAGAATATACACCACCCCCACGTCGATTCCTCCTCCCTCCTCTTTCCAGCGAGAGGGAGGAGGGAGGGAGGAGGTGGTGGTGTATGTATGGTGTATATTTTTGGGCCCCCCAGAGGTGGCATACGCCAGGGACCCTCCGGGTGCGCGCTCGGTGCCTGGCGGCCGCGGCACGCCTGTCGGGTGGCGAGGCACGGCAGGTTGGCGCCGCGTAGCGTGAAGCCGTGCGTGCCCCTCTACAGGAGGAGTGTTCAGAGATAGTCGGCAAATAGTCTGGGGACGACTCGTTCGTTTACTCTGTTTTGTTGTGACATGTTTGATTTTCTTCTGTACTATTGCGAAGGCCTGACGTCCGGTGCCGACGACCCTGAAGAGGACCACGACGTCGGCGACGAAGCGGGCGGAGACGGAGGCCGTGGAACACGAGGAGGAGGAGGAGGAGAAGGAGGAGGAGGAGGAGGTGGAGGAGGAGAGGGCTCTATTTTTGTGTGTGACATTTTGATGTTGTCTTTGTACTACCTCTTATATTTTTCGCCCAGAACCCACCTCTATCAGGAGGAAAAGAAACACACAGACACAATTCATCGTCGATTCCCTAGAAAGTACGGGACAATGTGGGAAGTGGTGGGGGAAGACAAAAGCCCAGAACATGTGTCAAAATATGGGGAGCATGTTGATTCGTGTGTGCTTATTTGTATGTCCCAGGGCCCCTTCACTGTAGGAGGACCCGCCCGACCAGAGCGCAGAGGCTTCCGCGGGCCCGCGCCGTGGCGCGGGCGGCCGAGGCCTCGAGGGCCCCCCCCGGCGGCCCCTGCCGGCCAGGCCAGCGCACCCCGCACGGCGGCCCCCGCACGGCGGCCAGCGCTTTCGAGGCCGACCGGCCCGGGCGGCGCCAGGCTTATGATGTTCCAACCTACACCTTAGGCGATGCTTAAGAAAACTTAAGTTTTCGGCCAGAGTCTCGATTATTCTTAACGTTTCAGTGTAAATCCTAAGTTTTTAATAGAAGCGTTGGGTTTTTATTCAAGATCTGAGACTATGAATTTCTTAACCCATGATTTCTTAAGCATTTCGCAGGGTGTACTCTTGCCTTGGCCACCAGAAATAATTTCGGGCGCACCCCAAAACTCGAGGGTTCTCACGTGTCGGGCCCTGGGAGACACTCGTCCGACACTCCTTCGACACTCTTTCGACACTCTTTTGACACTCTTCTGGGTGCTCGAAATGATTTCTGGGACGTGGTCCTTAAATAGGATGGGAACAACATAACGCCAGGCGCCAGCGTTCACTCAGGAGGGAAAAAGACAGCACGACAGCGAAAAGCAGCACGACAGCGAAAGGCATCGTTTATAGGCTCAGCCCTGTTAAGCGACACGCCCCCGTCCCCCTTTCTTGGCTCCCTGGCCGCCTCCAAGACAGCGGATCCTTTGCATGATTTGCGGAGGGCTTGCGCGTGTCCAACTTCAGGAGGGAAAAAAAACAGACACAATGAATCGTCGATTCCCCCGAACATATGGGAAGATATGGGAAGTGGGGGGGAAGACGAACCCCCCGAACCTATGGGAAACTATGGGGGACGTCTTTGGTTGTGTGTGTTTCTTTGCGCGTCCTTGGGCCCCTTCATTCACGTCGGCACGACAGTCGGAGACACCCTCTGGCTGACCACCCGGGTTGGCGAGCCGCTCGTGGCCGCGAGGCGGCCGCGCAGATTGGCCGACCCGGGTTTGCGCAGACCTGCGTTGCCGTTTTTTTGTTTTTCCTGTATTGCAGCTCTATCTAGTCCTTGTCCTTGTCCTGTAGCCAGTGTCCTGCGAGCGTCCCGAATTCCGTCTGCAGACATATGTAACCCTCGTTCCGTCATCGCCCCCTTTATAAAGTGTCCTAAACTATTTGCGCCCCACGTTTGCGCAGGGGTTGGGTACGTCGCCAGGGTAATTCCTGCATTTCAGTTTTTTGGTGCCAGACGCCAGACGCAGTTGGTTTCTCGGTGCCAGACGCCAGCTTTCCCTCCGGAGGGAACAAGAACACACAGACAGACAATGAATCGTCGATTCCCCCGAACATGTGGGAAAGTATCGGAGGGGGGGGGGGGGGACGGCGAGAACCCCGCAGATGTGGGACACTGTGGGGAGCCCTGTCGGGGGCACATGCGAACCCTACCCCTACCCCCCTCCATTTCTGAGGGGAGGGCGGGGCTCACTTCGTTCGGGAGCTCCCGAGCGAAGTGAACCCCGCCCTCCCCCTCAGAAATCGTGGGGGGTAGGGGTAGGGTTCGCATGTGGCCCCCTACCCTGTCCTCTGTGTCCAGTTCTTCGTGCGTCCCCGGGCCCCTTCGCGGACGCCGGCGCTGGCGCCGGGCACGGCCGTCGGATGGGGCGCGACAGCGGCGGCTCTCCCGCCTGGCCCCGGTCCGCCGTGCTCGGGTCCCCAGACCGCTCCCGAGGTCCATCCTTCGGACGGGGCTAATCTTAAGTCGGGCCCGTCCCTCCACAGGAGGAATATTCAGAAATAGTGAAAAAATTGTCTGGGGACTATTTTCAACTATTTTTGAGCATTTCCAGAGTATTTTTTATTATTTTTTATTGGTCGTCGAGAATCCCCCTGTAGGGGGACACGCCCGACTTACGGCTAAATGGGCCGAGGAGACGTCCGTCCGGGGGCGTTTGGGAGCGCTCTCAGAGCGTTCCTGGGCGCTCTGAGAAGGCCGCGGCGCCCGGGGCCATCCCTCAGCGCCGCCGGATCTCAGAGGTTCTCGAGGTACTCCTTAGGCGATGCTTAAGAAAACTTGAGTTTTCGGCCAGAGTCTCGATTATTCTTAATATTTCAATGTAAATCCTAAGATTTTGATAGAAATTTTGGGTTTTTATTCGAGTTCTGAGACCATGAATTTCTTAACCCATGGTTTCTTAAGCATTTCGCAGGGTGTATCCCCCCCGATGTTGTCCTCTTTCTGGCTTCGTCTCGCATCCTGTCTCGTCTTCTGGCGCAGATCCGGCCGCGGTGACGGGAAGCCTCCCTCGCTTCTCAGAGCGAGGGGGCCGAAGTGTCACTGATTGTCCCCCTGGGTGCGTGGCTGAAGTGGGGAGCCGTGGTGAGGATCCTGCTTGTTGCGTTGTTTGTTGTCGTCGTCCACCCCGCGACGCGCACGCGACCCACCCCGCGACCCACCCCGCGACCCACCCCGCGACCAACCCGCGACCCACCCCGCGACCCACCCGCGACCCACCCCGCGACCCACCCGCGACTCACCCGCGACCCACCCCGCGACCCACCCCGCGACCCACCCCGCGACCCACCGCGCGACCCACCCGCGACCCACCGCGCGACCCGTTCAGAAAACAAAATGCGATCTTCGAACACGAGTATTCTGCTTGTTTTGTTGCGTCGTCCCCACCCGCGACCCACCCCGCGACTCACCCGCGACCCACCCGCGCACCCACCCGCGACCCACCCTCGTCACCCGCGACCCACCCCGCGACCCACCCGCGACCTGGCCCGCGACCCACCCCTCGACCCACCGTGGACACCCCCGCGACCAACCGTCGACCCAATCCGCTCCCCACTCACATTGTTGTAACAAAAAATCGGCGCCTGCGGCGGGCTCGTTGTATAGATTGAAGCTCTGCGCCTGCGACGGGCTTCTTCAGAGCCTCGCAGGCTGACGACGTCCCCGCCGCCCCCTCACTCTTGTCCGCAACTGCGGGGTGCTACGTATTGAATCGCTTCTCTCATTCCGCCAGCCCATATTGCCTCGTCGCTTGGGGGCAGTGTTGGGGCCTCTTGGGGGCCTCTGGGAGGCAGTTTTGAAGCCTCTTGGGGGCCGTGTTGGGGCCGTGTTGGGGCCTCTTGGGGTGCCTCTTGGGGTGCCTCTTGGTGGCCCCTTGGGGCCTCTCGGGGGCCTCTTGGGGCCTCCTGGTGGCCTCTCGGGGCTGAAGGCTGAACTTTTCGGTTCCTGCCCCGTCTTGGGCCTCCCTTGGGGCCGTTTTGGGGCCCTCTTGGGCCATCTTCGGCGCCTCTCGGACTGTCTTGGGTCCATCTTGGGCCGTCTTGGGGCCCTCTTGGAGCCGTCTTGGGCCGTCTTGGGGCGGTGTTTGGGGCCTCTTGGGCCGTCTGGGAGCCTTGGGAAGCCGAAGAGACGAGACACGTCGTACACGAAGACGCCTCCCTTGCCTATCGTGTGGCCTTCCGATGTTCTCACGCCTGGCGTTCTCGCCCGGCCTCGGGCCCCAAGGGGAGCCTTCGTGGATCGACCGGGCTCCTCCTCCCCCTGCTCCTCCTCCTCCTCCTCCTCCTCCTCCTCCTCCTCCTCCTCCTCCTCCTCCTCCTCCCCCTCCTCCTCCTCCTCCTCCTCCTCCTCCGACGCTGCGATGCCGCAGGGCGTTCGCAGCGTCGGAGCCCGGGGTCCAGGAGGCCCGGACGTGAGCGACGCGCGGAGGAGGGCGGGGGGAGTCGGGGGCGGAACAGAGGGGGGTGATGACTAGGGGGGGTGGATGTCATGGCGCGGGCCATGATTTTTCTTCAGATTTCATGGCGCCTCTTCTTATTTCATTACGTCTCTGGCCCCCCCGCTGGGCCGCGCACAAGCCGCCGGTCATGATTTGCACACCCCCCCTCTTGGACACCCCCGTCTTGGCCGCTCCCGAGGGAGGGGGGACGGCTTCTCAGAAGCGGCCTCCTGCTGAAGAAGCCGTCCGCCCCCCCTTGTGCGAGCCGCCAGCACAAGGACGACGGATGCCAGGCAGGGCCCTCCTCCTCCTCCGGAGGAGGAGGGGGAGGAGGAGGAGGGGGAGGAAGAGGAGGAGGAGGAGGAGGAGGAGGAGGAGGAGGAGGAGGAGGAGGAGGAGGAGGAGGAGGAGGAGGAGGAGGAGGAGGAGGAGCCTGGCCGTGACAGGCCCGGATGGGCCCCGGGCCGCCCCCTGTGCCGAGGACGCGCTGAGGCCCGAGCACAGCGTGCGGCCCGTGCCGCTGAGGCAGCTGGAGCTGCCCGCGCCGCACACGGCCCGGTGAGCGAGCGCGCGTCCCCCGGTTTCATCGGGACGACCGACATGGGTACGGAAAGAATGTCGGGTACAGCCAGGACCCCGGTTAAGGGGACCCGGTTAGTGGTAGGGCCCTGGGGCCCCTCAATTGGCCAGAATCACCAAACCAGGTTTGCCATAGCTGGTGTTTTTTCGGGTGACGGCAGTTCCGCTTAGTGGAAATGGGACGGGGGGGCGCCCCCGGTACAGATCACTCTAAGCCAGGTTCCACTAAACCCAGTTCTGCCAACGCCCGAGAATGGGTACAAAGACCGACAGCAGTTCTGGTTCCCTCGGAGCAGGACTCGCCGTCGGCGTCGCCGCGGGCCGTGTCCGCTTTGAGACAGAAGGCCGCCTGCCGAACAGTGGCCGCTGTTGGTTTGGGACCACGTTTGTTGTTGGGCACCGTACCCCAGATTTCGTAAGAAAGGGAGGGGGGTCTCATTTCGGGGGGGGGTCTCTTCCAGGCTATCTTGGGGGGCCTGGGGGGGTCTGGGGACGATGTTTTGGAGGGTTCTCCCACGGGGGAGGTCTGAAATGGCTTGTCTTGGAGGGTCCAGACCGCCTCCCTTTTATTACGAAATCTGGAGTGCCCATTCTCCCCGTGCCCCTTTCGGGCGTCCGAATGTCAGGGGCGGCCAAGATCGGAGGGGGAAAAAAAGGTATCCGTAGCGCTACTTTTGCCTCGCTCCTTTTTTTGGGGGGGCCTCCTGGGAGGCCTCTTCGCCACCGCTGGCTTCGCCTCGGAATCCTGGTCCTAGCGCACCCCGGGAGAGGGCCGAGGAGTAGCGGTACCGGTGCCTTTTGGTTCCCCATGAGGGGGGGGTGATGATTCATTAGGGGAGGGGGCCCCGAGGGCCAGCGACAGGCGGTCCTTTCGGGGGCGGCTAAGAGTCTCAGGAGCGGAAGACGGGCCTACACGTACACGAATCCGCGCCGGTTTCGAAAGTACGCATTGCGCGAACGTCGATATCACGAGCCTGGTCTGGCGGACCGGGGGACCGTACCCATTTACATGGTTGGGTGCGCACGTCTTTTATAGGCTCCCTCGAGAGAGGGGGTGATGACTGGGAGAGGGGGCCCAGAGAGCCAGCGACTGGCGTCAGTATCCCCATCCCGTCCTCATCCCCTTCGAGACCCCCACCAAATCACCGCCCCAGCTGGGGATGCACCCCTCGAAACCCGAAGGGTACGGCCTACATTCCCATCCAGGGGGGTAACTCGGCCAGTGGGGCCCAGGCCACGTCGCTGGGGATGGGGGTCGGATGAATGATGCTCGTGGCGATCCTGGCGCGGTGGTTGGCCGTGCGCCCCTTCTGGGGGCTTGTGCCGGTTATTGTTAAGTCGGGCCCGTCCCTTTACAGGGGGAACATTCAAAAATAGTCAACAATAGTATGGGGTCAATTTTTGCAGCATTTTTGGGCATCTTTGTGAGTATTTTGTTGAACATGTTTTGTTTCTCATCCAAAATCCCCCGGTAGGGGGACAGGCCCGACCTGAGGTTATTGCGAGCTGGTGTTCCTGTCCCTTCCCCCTCTTGCCCTGCCTGCCGCAGCCCCTCCGAGCATGGATCGGCGATGGCGAGAGGAGAGCCACCACCGGAGCAGGGTCGCAGAGACCCCGGCGTCGCAAGTCTTCCACATCCGCCCGTTTTCGCCCAGTCTCGGGCCCCGGGGCCTTCACAGAGCGATCCGGCGCGAACACCGCAGCGGGAACACGAGGAGGACGAGGAGGAGGAGGAGGAGGAGGAGGAGGAGGAGGAGGAGGAGGAGGAGGAGGAGGAGGAAGGAGGAGGAGGAGGAGGAGGAGGAGGAGGAGGAGGAGAGGAGGAGAGGAGGAGGAGGGGGGGGGGAGGAGGAGGGTCGAGGAGGAGGAGGAGGTGGAAGGAGGTGGAGGAGGAGGAGGAGGAGGAGGAGGAGAGGAGGAGGAGGGAGGAGAGGATGGGGAGGAGGAGGAAGGATGGAGGGAGGAGAGGAGGAGGGGGGGAGGAGAAGGAGGGGGGTGGTAGGAGGAAGGAGGAGGATGGGAGGAGGAGGAGGAGGACCCATTGGACTGTGACCCATTGGGTTGGTTCCCGCGTATACGCGGCACTCCTCCCTTCTGCGAGCGCCCGCGACCTATAGGCCCTATGGGTCGTCGCAGCCAGGAAGGCCCCGCAGGTCGCGCCTGTAGGCGCTGCCGTTGGGGAGCGCGGATGCCTTTAGGCAGGGAGGGCCTTTAGGCGCGCCTGTAGGCGAGGAGGGCCTGTAGGCGTGCCTGTAGGCAGGTGCGCCTGTAGGCGGTGTGTGTGTGGGGGGAGGGCCTGTAGGCGTGCCTGTAGGCAGGGAGAAAGGGAAAAAAGGGGGGGGGAGAGAGGGGAAGAGAGGGGGTGCGTGCCTGTAGGCAGGGAGGGCCTGTAGGCATGCCTGTAAGCAGGGAGCGGGGGAGGGCCTGTAGGCGTGCCTGTAGGCAAAGGAGGGAGGGGGCAGGGAGTGCCTGTTGGCGTGCCGGTAGGCAGGGAGGGAGGGAGGGGGAGGGAGGTGGGGAAAGCGCGCGTCACGCGCGAGCCCGCCGTGCCCCTTTCTGACCGTCGGCGCTAGCATGCGTGCACGAAGGTCGATGCAGCCACGCCTATCAGCCGCACCTTGGCAGCTAGCTCGTCCACGTCCAGCGTGTCCCGCAGCGCCCACCGCAAGAGCTCGCCCCTCGGCGGGCCCCACGCGGCATGCACCGCCTCCCGGTGTGCCTCCATGGCGGCACAGCACTCGATCAGGTGCTGGAGGCAGCCCTCGCCGCCAGCGCACAACGGGCACGCCTCGGGCAGGCGCTCCGCCGGCAATCCCCAGACCCCGACCGGGATCTGGAGGGACACGCGCGCGGCGCACCATGCACGGTGGAATCGCCACATAGTTCGCCCCCATGACGCCCACCTGAGGGCGGGGGGCCAGTCGCAGTGCAGCGGGAGGACCTCCGCGATGGGAACGAGGCCGGTGTCGCTCAAGCGGCCCAGCTGCTCCCGGAACCAGATCTGCTCGGTTTCACGGATCCGCGGCAACACGGCCGCGCGGGCCCAGCCGCGAAGGGCGCGCCGCCTCGCCTGCGCACCCGCCTGGGCCGCGACAGCCAGGCCCTCCGGCGGCGCCCCCGCCCCGAAAAGGGCGGCCACCGCGGCGGCGTCATGCAGCCAACAGCCGCCTTGGCGCGCCAGCGCTGCCCGCACCGCCGGGGCAATCGGCGTCTGCTCCGGCAACAGGAGCATCCGGGCCCATGACATAACGATCCGGAGGGCCACTTTGCTGGAAGCCCGCGTCAACAACCGAGTCTCTAGGAACAGGCGCACGTAGCCCCCAGTGCCCATGGATGCGGCTGGCGGCAAACCCAGCAGCGCTTTGGCCACGTCATAGTACGCCCAGTTCAGCTGGGTTGCAACTTCGTTCCAGCCGCGGGCGTGGCTGGCGAGGAGTTCCGCTCCGTAGAAGGCCGAAGCCTCCGCGCGGGCGGGAAGCTGCTCCGCCTGCACTGGCATCCCAAAACCGTGGTCGGTCAGCCCTGCCACCAAGCGCCGAGCGGACTCGCGGAGCTTCGCGCACACACGGGCGAGTAGGGGCTCGAGCGACAAGTCGGCGTCGATGACTACGCCCAGCACGTCCAAGTTATCCACCGCCCGTACTGGGACGCCGTCTACCGAGCCACACGCGGCGGCGTCGAGCGGCGCCCCCCCGACAACCATCGCGGCGGGGCCTTTGCTGCCAGACTGAAATCTGTGGCGGTACAGGTGGCAGAATTCAGTCATGCCGCCGTTCGCCCTTGCCAGGCTAGCCTCGTCGGGCTGCAAAGTGAAGCTGTCGTCCACCAACTGAAGCATGAACATGTTTTCCGGGGCGCCTCCAGCAAGAGGTGGGGGCGCCAGCGCCGCGCCTTCCGCCACCCGGCGACACGAGTCCAGGAGCGCGCGTACCAGGGCCCCGAACAAGTGCACCCCTGCGCGCCGGCCCTGGCCCACACCGAAGCCCACCAGAATGTGCACGGGGCCCACGAGCGGCCCGATGCGCAGGCGCACATTTTCGTCGCCAAGGGATGCGGCCGCGGCAAGCCACAGGCGCCCCCGCACCCCCGCACGGCGGAGCTGCACGAGGACAGCATCCCGCCAAGCAGGAGGTCGAACCCGTACAGGAGGTCTGCTTTCTGGAGCACAGTGCGGTGCCCTCCCAGGCGGCGCAGCTGCAGCGCCATCAATAGGCCAGCGGCCATGAGGGTCCCGTCGAACAGCCCCCCGGCCTGCTCGGCCCCCGCGAAAGCTTCAAGCAGGTGCCGGGTGGCGGCCAACCACGCCGCGTCGAGGAACCCTTCGATGTCATCGACGTAACTTATAGGCCGGAGATTGTTGACGTCCGTCACGACCTGCGAGCCGCGCTTGCGGATGGGGGCGGGCTCCCGCATCCACATCGTCGCGCCCAGGCCGACTACAAGGGAAAGGTTCAAGATGGCCCACGTGACCACCAGTCCGTCGACCACGAGCGCCTTAGCCGCGGCACGGGGGAGGCGCTCGTGGTGAAAGGGAGGAGGAGGTTGAGGAGGCGGGGTAGGAGGCGCGTCGGCGCACGTGCGTGTCGGGCCCTGCTTTGCGAGCCCCCCTCTTGGACGCCCCCTCTCTTGGCCGCGCCCGCTCCTCGCCGCGGCTGCCGGGGCTCCCTCCGTCACCCGGCAGCGCGCCCGAGGGGGGCAGGGCAACGGGGTGGCGGCCCTCCCGAGGAAGCACGCGAGAATCCAGGCTTCCCAGATGGTCAGGGGCGGAAAAGAGGGGGGTGATGACTAGGGGAGGTGGATATCATGGCGCGGGCCATGATTTTTCCCCAGATTTCATGGCGCCTCTTCTTGTTTCATTACGTCCCTGGCCTCCCCGCTGGGCCGCGCACGTGCCGCCAGTCATGATTTGCACCCACCCCTCTTGGACACCCCCCTCTTGGCCGCTCCCGAGATGGGGTCAGAGCAAATGTGGTCGGAGGATCCGCGCCGCACCGCCGATGCATCGGCCACGCGGCTCGATGTGGAGCCCGACTTCCTCCACACCGACGCCGCCGATGCATCGCCGTCCTTGCCGATGCATCGGCGCTGCATCGCCGATGTATCGTCGATGCGGCGCGATCCTCCGACCCCATCTAGTCGGACCCCATTTGGGAGGCATCCATGGAGGAGGGGCCGAGCGTGGGCGGCCTTGCCCGCGGTAGGACGGCCTCCTGCCCGAGACGCGGTGCCGTGCTTCTCACGACGCCGCGCCCTGTCCGCCCTGGCTCCCCACCTTCGGGGGAGGACCAAAGGCATCAAGCGGGCACTTTCGGACGCAAAGTCTGCGCATTTCCGGCGCCTCGTTTTTCCATAGTTTCCGGCCTCTCAGGGCCCCTGCCGGGCCTCGGGAACGCAACAAAGAACGATTCGGCAGTGACAACCTGGAAGTGGTCGAGAGCTCCTGCGCCTCGAGCCGCCAGATGTCTGCGTCATCATATCCGTGCTCAGTGGTCTCTTCTTCTCCTTGTGCGGAGCGCACCAGACAAGCTCTCTCGGCATCGTTCGGACGTGTGCATTTATCCTTCGGCGAGGACCATCGATCGAGGAGCATCCTTGATCAGCTGGCGACAAATCCACGCACGAGACCGAAAAAAACACAGGGAATGGACGTCCGAGCGATGCCCAGCCCTGGGCCCCTCCCTCTGAGTCTGCTCCTCGGGCCCGCTCGTGGCCAGCCACGCTCCAGCGGCCGGCGCCCGCGAAGATTGCGGGCGCTTCGCGGCGCGTGCCGTCGCGGACCGGCGTGCTGCGGGCCGAGAAAAGGCCGGCCTCGTCCTTCGAGGGCCGGGGTCCGGGGAAGGCAGGAGGGAAGAAACGCACAGGCACAATGAACCGTCGATTCCTTAGAAAATACAGGAAAATGTGGGAAGGGGGGGGGGGGAAGACAAAAACCCAGAAAATGTGTGGAAGTATGGGGGATCCTTGTTATTTGTGTGTGTATTTATTTGTGTGTCCCAGGGCCCCTTCAGGAAGGCGCCCTCCTCCCGTTGCTGCCCCGGCCGGGTTCACCGCGGTCCAGTGGTGGCCTGGCATACCCGCCGCATGGTGGGTGCTAGGCTCAGGAGCTGCTGGCCAGGAGGCGGTCGGGCGACAGCGGATGGTTGTGGGGGGGGAGGGGAGGGGGGGGGGGGGGTGGGGGGTGGAGGTGGGGGGGAGGGGGGGCGGATGGGGCGTGGGGGGGGGAGGGGGTGAGCGGGGGAGGGAGGGGGGGGGGATAAGGGTTGGGGGCGGGGGGGGGTGCGGGGGAGTGTGTTGTGGTGTTGAGGTTCTTTTGGTTTTTTTATTTTTTTTTTTGTTTTTTTTTTTTATATTTTTTTTTTTTTTTTTTTTCTTTTTTTTTTTCTATTTTTTTTTTTTTTTTTTTTTGTTTTTTTTTTTTTTTTTTCTTTTTTTTTTTTTTTTTTTTTTTTTTTATTTTTTTTTTTTTTTTTTTTTTTTTTTTTTTTTTTATCATTTTTTTCCCCCGTCGGCCCCGCGGGGGCCCCTGGGCCAGGAGCGTCTCTCTGGCCCCTGGCGGGCGCATGGCTTTCGCCGTGCGTGAGTCCCGCTGCTTGCTCCTGCTGACCTAATTATCGGGGGCCCTGCCTGGCGGCAGGCAGAGGATCAGGGTTGCGTCCCCAGCTCCACGGGGGGGAAGGGAAGGGCACGCGCAGGCGCCGTCTCGCTGGGGTGGGGCCCAGGGGTGTCCTGGGGCGGCGGGGCCGGGGGCGGTGCTGCATGCGCGTGTGTGGTCGCCTGGCATCTGTGACTGTCTGCTTTGCGCGATTGTGAGGCAGACGGTCGGACCGCAGAGCGTCGAGTGCGTCGAGACGAGGGGCACATCCGGTGGTGGTGGTGGTGAGGATGCTGCTGATGATGACGATGACGATGACGATGACGATGACGATGATGATGATGATGATGATGATGATGATGATGATGATGATGATGATGATGATGATGATGACGATGATGATGATGACGATGATGATGATGACGATGACGATGACGATGATGACGATGATGATGATGAGGAGGAGGAGGAGGATGAGGAGGAGGAGGAGGAGGATGAGGATGAGGATGAGGATGAGGATGAGGATGAGGATGATGATGATGATGATGACGATGATGATGATGACGATGATGATGATGATGATGATGGTGATGATGATGATGATGCTGATGATGATGCTGATGATGATAATGATAATGATGATGCTGATGGTGCTGATGTTTGGTGCTGATGATTATGAGGATACTGATGACGATGACGATGATGATGATTATGTTGTTGCTGCTGCTGCTGCTGATGATGATGAGGAGGAGGAGGAGGAGGAGGAGGAGGAGGAGGAGGACCAGTGTATGCCCACTAATCATCAACGATGTTTGCATGCACCCTCCCTCCAAGTTCCCCCTTCATAGGCCCCCACAACGGTTCATTGCCACTGAGGGAACTGCCTCGTTGGAAGAAACCGTTTGCAGACCCTGAAGCATGCCAAAACATTGTTATCGGGATTCCAGCGCTACGGATCAAATTGACTGTTGCGTCTTGACGACCCTGAATCGCGCCAGAACGCCATTCCCGGGACTTCTACACCGCGAATCAACGTAATTGTTGCGCCCCCCTCACAATCGTGAATCCTTCCAAGACGCAATTTCTGGTACATTGATCATGGGAATCCGTGAAACTCGTGCAACTTATACAAAAACGAAGGTGCTCGGCGCTAAGGCGAGAGCCACACTTTGAAAAGGAGCCGCAATAAATCCGTGAAGCTCTAGCAAATGTCTAGAACGGTTGTGCGCGGCGCTGAGGCGAAAGCCACATTTTGCAAACGGGCCGCCCTCAATCTATGAAGCTCTTGACCTTTTGAAGAAATGTGCGTGACGCTAAGGCGAGAGCCACATTTTGAGAATGACCCGCCCTCTGTGAAACTGTTGCCACTGTTTGAGCTTCAGGGTCATAAATGATGAGGAAGTCTCAGGCGAAACGCCTGGCCCGCCCTAAAACCTGGCCTCGGGGTGCGACAGGAAGAAGGTATTCATATGGAAGAGGAATGGAGGAGGAGGAGGAGGAGGAGGAGGAGGAGGAGGAGGAGGAGGAGGAGGAGGAGGAGGAGGAGGAGGAGAGGGAGGAGGGTGCGGCGTGTCTTACGGAAGGTTTATGCCGCGTTGACCCGACGGCGACGGAAGGTTCACGCCGCGTTGGCGCGGCGGAGACCCCAGCACGGTCGTTCCACGTCGAACGCCGTCGGTTGCCCGGAAACGGCCAGTCTCGAACGATCTGCGCCGTTCTAAGCCTCCTAGATGGTGTCGGAGTAGATGGGGTCGGAGGATCGCGCCGTATCGTCGATGCATCGGCGATGCGGCTCGATATGGAGCCCGATTTTCTCCACGCTGGCGTCGCCGATGCACCGCCGATGCATCGCCGATGCATCACCGATGCATCGTCGATGCATCGGCGATGTATCGCCAATGTATTGGCGATGCGGCGCGATCCTTAGACCCCATTCTTTCCGACCCCATCTAGGAAGCCTCCTAGCCATCGGAAGGCACGGTCGTTTCAGGGGGAGCGATCCGCAGGGTGTCAGAGGCCAGCCCACGTCCTCGCGGCGCGAGCGTGCCGCAGGCTCCTCCTCGGGGTCCCGACAGTAGCACCTCGGCCTCGAGCAGGGAGCTGGTGCCCCTGACTGGAAGAGGCTGCATCCAATCCAGTCGCGCTGCGACTTGGGCGAAGGCGAGCAGTAGCTGGGCTGTACTCTGCGGCAGCCGGGCCGGGGGGGAACAGGAAGAAAGGAAGAAGGGAACGAGAAAGAGAGGAGGAGGAGGAGGAAGAGGAGGAGGAGGAGGAGGAGGAGGAGGAGGTTCAGCGCGAGCAGGGCCTCCAGACTCTGCGTGCCCGGCGCTCGCCTCCGCGAATCACGTCGGCACGCTCCCACTCCGCATGTCGCCTGGCACTCTCGGCCGTGGGGCCGTGGGCGTTCTGCCCGGCGCGGGGGCAGAGCGCCTCTGCCCCTCGGTCCGATGCCAGGGGCACGTGCGGTGGCAGCTGGCCGCTGCCTGAGCTCGATGCTGCTCTCCTCCTCCTCCTCCTGCTCCTCCTCCTGCTCTCTCCTCTCCTTCCTCCTCTCTCCTCCTTCCTCCTCTCCTCCCCCTCCTCTCCTCCTCCTCCTCCTCTACTCCTCCTCCTCCTCCTCCTCTCCTCCCTCCTCCTCCTCTCCTCCCTCCTCTCTCCTCCTCTCCTCCTCCCTCCTCCCGCCGCTTAGTGCGTGCGGAGAGAGGGGCCTGCGAAGCAGCCCGTTTTAGCGTGGGATAGAACGGGTAGGGCCCGCGGCGGCCGGGCCTGCCGATAGCTCGGCCCTGCCCCCCCCCCGGGGGCCCCGCCGCGGAGGCGCTCCGGAAGCGCCCCCCCCCCCCCCCCCCCCCCCCCCCCCCCTCCCCCCCCCCCCCCCCCCCCCTCCCCCCCCCCCCCCCTCCCCCCCCCCCCCCCCCCCCCCCCCCCCCCCCCCCCCCCCCCCCCCCCCCCCCCCCGCGAAAAGTTGGAGTCCCGAAACCGTGCGTTGACGGACCATCCTTCCCCTCCTCCCTCTCCCTCATCCTCCTCCCTCCTCCCTCCCTCCTCCCTCCTCCCTCCTCCCTCCCCGTGCGGTGACCTCGGAAATCCCCCAAGACTTCACCGCGCGGTCCGTCGCCGCGCGGTTTTTGGCCCCGGAGGCCCCCGTCGCCCGAGGACGGCGTGGTGACCACACCGTTCTGGGGGCCCCCCACAAAAGTCCGGGCGTTCCCGAGCCTCTCGCGGGCCTTGGACCTCGAGCCTCGGTCCCTCCCCGGGGCCCGCCCCCTTTCGGGTTCTGAGGGCTCGAGAGCTCTTCTCCTGTCGATGCGCGGGGATAAGGCTGGACAGGTCGCGGCGACTCGTCGCGACTTGGTGTGAGTCCAGGGGTGCCTATCAGGATGCAGATGCTACTCCTGAGAGGTTAGACTCAGCATCGGCGCTGACGTAGCCGTGGTCGGAAATCGGCCTAATCAGCCATCATCCCGTACAATTCCATTTACTCTCTCTTAAATCCCGTTCAGTCGTGCTCAACTCCTGGCTCAACTTGGGCGAAGCTAGCTCACTGGCTCCTTAGTCGGGCGTACTTACGTTCTTACGAAGACCTCCCAGGAGTTGCCTCCCACTGTCCAGACAGAACCAGAGAGAGAGAGAGAGAGATCGTGCAAGCTCCAGCGCTGGCCAACTCACAAGTCAGGAGCCGCCCCGATCCGCGGCGAAATCCTAAGCCTACCCCCGCTGATCCACGATCTAGGCAACTCGCTGGGCGGCGGTGGCAGGGTCCAGAACTCTTCGAACGCGTGGCGAAATTCGAACCATCCCCCCGCCTCCGCCGATGCAGGAGAATCGATGGTTGGTGTCGGTCGCGCGCAGAGGGGGGGGGTCGGGCGAGGGGGGAAGGCTTCTTAGAACCACCCCTGCTGTCCTGCTCCTTGGAAGGCGCTGGCTTCTAAGAAGCCTCCCCCCACCCCCCTCCC